GAATTAAAAAAATAATAATGGTACCGTATACAGGTACATATTTTGCCAACTGTAAAGGCAGTTTCTTTCTTGAGAAAAGTCAATAGTGAATGAAATAACCACTTAACCTTTATGTAATTGACCAAGAGGTGGCCTGGGTTTTATAAAGCTGAAAAGTAAATGAAGAATCCCTTTGGTCAGCGGTAGTATTCTTACCTCTATGTTGCCCAAGGATTGTCTGATTGTGGATGCTTATTCACAAATGTGCAGTTCCAGCAAGCTTATATTCAAAACACATTAATTTTGCAGCTCTCTACAGAGTCATTTTATTTCTTGTATGTTTTGCTACATTTTAGTGTTAAAAGTTACTTTTTGTTTGTTTGTTTCTTGTTACTGCCTTTAGCATAACTGAAGTTTTGTTTCAAATTAAGGTAATTTACCTGCGTTAAGTTCTAGTCAGAGTATTTAATCATTGTTTGAGTGCTGTACCAGTAAGTGGGTGAAATATCCTTTTTTGGCTGCTGTTCTGTTGATGAGGGTAGCCATTTGACTATGAATTTTTAACTAATTTTGAGGGGATTGAGCAAAGACACAGAGGACAGAGAAGTGAAAGTCCAGTCCCCCATTACTGGTAAAACTAAAAGAAAATAACCACTTTAAATTAACGTTCCTATTAAAAATAAAGGATTAGAACAGAATTTAAGAGTGTAGTAAAAAATGGACAAAAGTTGTAATATAACATAGAAAGCACAAAGATATTTAAAGTTAAAAAAATCATAATAAATTTAATTCTAGGTTCTTAGTTATATTTTTTAAAGGCTTTATAATTTTGCATAAATTTAAGAATAAAAATTGCTAAACTGCAGAACTAGGTATGAATATGGTCTGTGCCAATTTGAGAGTATGTGACCTGGAACGAGACCATGAAATCTTTGTTTTTATTTGCCAGTTAACTGTGCCTGGTAGTCAAAACCCACCTTCCTTAGGCTAAACATCAGCTAGATCTTTTATATGGTTTAGGACAGAATTATACTTTCAGAAGTCATGTGGATAAAATCGTGCTGATAGAATTTTATGTTATGGTACAGAACCATTGTGGATCTTTTTAGATGCTTAACTAATTAGTGACAGTAGTGATAAAATGTTAGCAAAAACAGACTGCTATTCAGAATAATTATAATCACCTTAACCCACGAAACAACATAATGCACTACAAAAGTGAGATTATTCTTGAATTCAGAATTGATGTTAGATTTTGCTGTTGCTGTGCTTCCTGTTTTGCCTTCCAATGTTGTATTTATTGATTCATAGGAATGATTTAATCCATTATTAAACTGTCTTTCCGGTATCCATCTTAGAATTAACTCCAGTCATGCTTCTGCCTTTTTCTCCTTGAGTGAATTATCTTGCACCTGACCATTTTCAACAACTTGCTGATTGTATATATTCACTTAATTCTTCAAATAGTCAATCACTTTAAATTTAATCTGACTCTCCATGGTGTTAACTATCCTACTCAACTTGATGTATGTAAATTAAATGAGCTTGCTGTCTTGTGAGACCCGCATCCATGAATGAAAATAGGATAATGTTTATAATTCAGTTGAAAAAATATGTCCACGCTTCATTTTTCATTGTTTGATTGTTCCTTTATCCTTTGCTAGGTGTCTCTATTTGTATAGGGCTGGAGCTATAGCACAGAGGGTAGGGCGTTTGCCTTGCACACGGCCGACCCGGGTTCGATTCCTCCACCCCTCTCTGAGAGCCGGGCAAGCTACCGAGAGTATCTCGCCCACACGGAAAAGCCTGGCAAGCTCCCCATGACATATTCGATATGTCAAAAACAGTCTCACAATTTGTTGCGAGATGTTACTGGTGCCCGCTCAAGCAAATTGATGAACAATGGGAGGACAGTGCTACAGTGCTCTATTTGCATAGGAATTAAGACTGTACTTTGTGGGGCCAGACCCCTGTGTCTGATCCTTAAACGTCACTGCATGGCTCTGGAAATCCTAGTGGTCCCTACCACCATTGAACCTGATTAGCACTGCCTCCTCAGGACTTGGCTATGAACTGAAGTCTTCCTGCTTGGCTGAGAGTTGCTGGGAGTGGCCTTTGGACCTTCTGAACATGTCCAGGGACAGCCCTGTCATGTGCTGCCTGTGCCCTTGTGTTGCTGGCAAGCGCATGTGGGGCCTGAGCACGTGTCACCTGCATCTTGAGATGTGTACTTTCATACTTTCATATTTAATGCTGGGATGTATACTTGGGCTTCCTTTCTACTCTGGAGAAGCCCACAACCTCTCGACAGTCGACAGGCTATTCTCTCTCTCTCTCTCTCTCTCTCTCTCTCTCTCTCTCTCTCTCTCTCCCCCCAACCCCACCATCTCCTCTCTCCACTCTTTTCTCTCTCCTCTCTCTCACTCTCCTTTCTCCTCTCTCTCTCTCTTTCTCTTCCTCTCTCCTTCCTTCCTCAGAGCCTCTGAATAACATATGTTATACTTCACCAAAAACCCCCTTTATCCTTTTCAATTTTTCCAAAGAAAGCATACTATATATACAGATACATACATATATGGGCTGGAGAGATAGCACAGTGGGTAGGGTGCTTGCCTTGCATGCAGCCGACTCGGGCCGGCCCCAGTTCGATTCCTCCGCCTCTCTCGGAGAGCACAGCAAGCTACCGAGAGTATCGCGACTTCATGGCAAGGCCTGGCAAGCTAACCGTGAAATATTCGATATGCCAAAAACAGTAACAAGTCTCACACTGGAGAGAGATGTTATTGGTGCCCATTTGAGCAAATTGATGAACAATGGGAGGACAGTGCTATACATATATATCATATTGCCAATTTTATATTAATCTAGGATGGAGAGATGAAAGTTTCTAAATGTAACCGAAAATTGTCCATTTCTTGACTTGTGGGAACTTCCTGTACCATCCAATTCATAGTAAGAACTTTTTGAACCCACTTGGAGTTAGGAAATGGTATATTCAGTATCTCTTTGTTTCTGTGTGGACCCAGAGTCTCTCCATACTGACAGAGGTCCGGTCACTGCTGCTTCAGTGACAATTTGAGGCCCGTCAGTGTGGAGGAAGCTGTCACACTGATGTCCTCACTTTAACTTCTGGTCATCGTGGTTACAAGAAACGGTTTTTCCTTTTTTCCTCCCATATGGGCTATGCCCGGTAGTTCCCAGAGTTTACTCCAGGTTTGGTGCTCAGGAATCATTCCTGGTGAGCTCAGCAGACAATGTAAGGTGCCTGGGATTGAACCTGTGTCAGCCCCTTGCAAGGCAAGCACCCTACTGCTGTACTATCATTCTGGTCCCACAAGAAACAGTTTTTTTTTTAAAAAAATTATTATTAGTGAAACACCATGAGGTACAGTTGTAGATTTAAAATTTTTTGTGCTTGGGTTTCGATTATACAATGATCAAACACCCATCCCTCCACCAGTGCCCATTTTTCACCACCATGGATAATATCCCTCCCACCCCCATACCCCCATCCCACCCTGCCTCTGTGGCAGGGCAATCCCTTGTGTTCTCGCTCTCCTTTTGGGTGTTGTGGTGTGCAAAAGAGGCATTGAGTGGCAAACATGTTCAGTCCATAGTCTACTTTCGACATACATCTCCCCTCCTGGGAGGAGACAAGAAACAGTTTTGATGGCAAAAGAGAGCAGAAAAGCATGTTTGTAGGAGAGATTGCATATCTGTGGGTGCCAGAGTAATCAGTGATTTCTCCTTTGGGTGGGTCTCTGATGTCAAGCAGGGTCCCCTGATGCACATTCCCATCTTATCTGCAAAAGCTTTTTTCCCTTACTCTAGGAAAAGGATAAGGACAACTGTTCCCATTAAGAAGAGCTGCTGGTAATTTATCTCTAATGTTCTTTTGGGCCGGTTTCAGTACAGCTTAGTGGGATCTCAGCCCTCCTACTCAGCCCCTGGTCAAAATCCTGGACAGGGCTCAACTACACAGATTCTGTTGCAGGTCACTGAACTTGTGCATGGTTTTGCTAGTGTACCCTAAGTCTGTGATGGATTTTTGCTTGTCCAATTTTACCTGTCTCATTTTTATTGCCTGGAAATTCTATCCCTGGAGCCAGACCTAATTTCTGTTACTGTTCTAGGCTGGGACTGTGAGTATTATCTCCAGCTCCAGGTCCATCTCCTAGAAAATTGCCTGTATTTTATGTTTGCCCTGAAATAGGATTAGCAAATTCTATTTGGAAACCTTTGATACATCTCATTTACCAAATATCTGAAAAGTAACCACCGTGCTGTATGTACTGTGAAAAAGTCAGCCTAAAAAATATAAAAAAGTTGCTGTTGAAGAAGAAAGTCATATAATGAAGACTTGGGTTGAGGGAAGGCTTTTTCTTTTTTCTTTAATTTTTAACCCATTTAGGATTAAAACACCTCTATATTGAAACCCAACAGAGTACTTTAGTGAAACAAGAAAAGGGATAATTGATGTACAGTGTCCTTTTAGATCGTAAGAGAATCCAGATCTATCTTTGGCTGGATGGAGAAGCTGGCACAGAAATATCGCTGTGCAAATAAATGGATAAAACTGGAAATAGGAAACAGAATGAAAGTTTTCACAGAGGAAATTGAAATTGGCTTACTAAAACTGATAGGAAGAACTTAGGTCTTTTGTTTTGGATCTTAGAGTTAGCTTGCTTTGTGAGAAAATGGGAGGGGTTCAGAAGCTTGAGAATGGATCAAAACGATGTAAGGCTCTGGCCTTGTACACAGATGACCTGAATTTGATCCTTTGCAGTGCATATGGTCCTCTGAGCAGCACCAGGAATGTTTCCTGAGAAGAGTCAGGAGTAAGCCATGAGTACTGTGAGGTGTAGAACAAAAACCAAAGATTTTTTTTTTTAAAGAAAAAAAAAACTATTTCATTGCGTTCCAGACTGGGGGACTTTTGTGGGAGAAGTGAAAAGTTGGGAGAACAGAAAAATAGAAAGGAGATTCTATATCCATCTATATCAATATATTGGTTACTGAAACTGCCTTTTAGGACTACTTTAAAATCTTTAGCTTCAGTTGTTCTTATCAGTTTAATGTTTTATATGTCCTCTGTCTGAGGTCAATATAATAAATGAATTTTTGGAGGCTGGAGATGGATTAGGGACTTGCTCCCATCTACTATATGCATTGTTCTGGTATTACATTACCTCCAGGAAATGTTGCATCCTCTCCGGGGATTTTTTTTTTAAGGTAAAATAAAAACAAAACAAATCTGTAACAGCATCTTTTTATACCTCATGGGACAAGTTGGCTGGCTGTGATTATTGTCTGAGGAAAGTTGGAGTGAAACTTATTGGTTGGTATGAAAGCCAAAAAGTAGGGGACCAGGCATGAGATGGCAAAGGAGTCAACACCAGGCGTTAGCATAGGAAGTGGTAACTCAGACCCAGTAGAACTTTTTTTTTTTTTTAATTAAAATTTGTTTTTGGCTGACTTATGGCAGTGCTCAGGACTGACCTCTGGCTCTGAAATCAGGGAACCACATGGGCTGCCTGGAAACCCGTGCTGGTTGTGTGCAAGGCAACCATCTTAACTGCTGTATTATAACTCTGGCCCCAGAAATGGGATGATGATGATGATTTGATGATAATGGTTCAGGTGATGATGGAGATAAAGTATGGATATTAGAACCAGACTTCAAACTTAAGGTATAGGACTAGGGCGAATTTAAAGAATCTTTTTAATTAAGCCTTCTCTCATCAATAAGAACTCACTTCAAAGGTTTAAATAATGCTTGCAAATGTTTAGCACAGTGCCTGCTTTAAGAACGTAACTCTTGGTTGAGATCAGAGGAATATAAGATCTTCATAGAAAAGGTTGTGGCAGGATGAGGGCGAAGGTTTCGCAAGTAACTTTGGAATAAAAAAGGGAGGGAACGTAAGTAATTCTAGAACTTTGCTTTAGAAAATTCCAAGGGGTGCTTGCTCTTTAGGTTTGAATGAATTACTACCCAAGTCTTAACAGCACTTCCTTTCAGTAAATTCGTACTGGTTTTGCTAGTGGTTTAATTTTCTCCCTTCAATCAAATCTATTTATTGTGACCAAGTGCCTTGCAAACTTTTTCTTAGACTTGACATTTGTTTTGGGCTGGAACGATAGCACAGAGGATAGGGCATTTGCCTTGCTTGCGGCCGAGCTGGCCGACTGGAGTTCAATTCCTTCGCCCCTCTCTGAGAGCCCGGTAAGCTACCAAGAGTATCTTGCCCTCACGGCAAAGTCTGGCAAGCTCCCCGTCAAGAATACGATATGCCAAACACAGTAACAAGTCTCACAATGTTTTGGGCCCGCTTGAGCAAATCGATGAACAAAAGGAGGACAGTGACAGACATTTGTTTTAAAGAGATGTACAATTTTTCTTTTCAAGTTGTTTTCCACAGCACAGCAGAATTTTACTCTTATCTCCATGTTAATCATTTAAAAAAAACTTTCAGTTATCTGAGGCTTAAGGAAATTTCAAGATATTAGTTATCATATGTTGTTTAAATTTTAATATTGAGACTGGAGCAACATTGTACAGCGGGTAGGGCATTTGCCTTGCACACGGACGACCCGAGTTTGATTCCCAGCATCCCATATGGCCCCCCGAGCACCGACAGGAGTAATTCCTGAGTGCATGAGCCAGGAGTAACCCCTGTGCTTTGCAGGGTGTGACCCAAAAAGCAAAAAAAAAAAATAATAATGATATCATCCTCTTCTATAACCTTGTTGCAGCTACTAGAATTAATGAATTAATGTTGATTAGCCCGGCAAGCTACCGAGAGTATTCGATATGCCAAACACAGTAACAACAAAGTCTCCAATGGAGACGTTACTGGGCCTGCTCGAGCAAATACTGAATAAATGAAAAACTTCAGGCAGGTATTGCCTGGCTTTAAACTCATGACTTTTTCTATTCTAGGGTTCAGGAAAGGTTCCCAGCTTGAATTTAGTTTGCTCTGTTTCCTAGTCTCCATAGTAAGAGACGTTTTTAAGCTTTCCTGACCTTGATTCCTTTGAAGAATCATGCCTAATTGTTATTTTGAGTGCCCCTCAACTTGAATTCTTTTTGCAGTATTTCCTTTTTATTTTATTTCTCATGCCACTTAGACTCACACAGTGAAACAGCACAGTGATTCAATTTAGGTATCCTATTTAATTAGAAAGTAATTAACTAACAAAATTACTTTTTGATGTTGCAACTTCGAATTTCCCCAGGCAAAACTCTGTCTTCACTTGGACATGAAGGTAGTGCTATAAATGAGTTAATTCATAATGTATATTGCTAAGATATTGATATAACTTTAACAACAAAAACAATAATTATACTCCAGTCAGAAACTGACACTTTATTTGCTGATTTTTCAAATATTTTGGAGATCTCAATACCCAACTAAAATCTCACATTCCCTTACCTCATTCAGATTACTCAGGCCTTATGCAATAATGAATTTTGTGTTTTGTACTCAGTGTTTTATTTATAATAAGAGATAGTTAATGAGTTACTTTCACCTATATCAATATATTGGTTACTGAAACTTCCATTTTAGGACTACTTTAAAATCTATAACTTCAGTTATTCTTATCAGTTTAATGCTTGATATGTCCTCTGTCTGAGGACAATATAATAAATAGATTTTTGGAGGTTGGAGATGGATTAGGGACTTGCTCCTATCTACTTTATGCATTGTTCTGGTATTGCATTACCTCCAGGAAATGTTGCATCCTCTCTGGGGATTTTTTTTAAGGTAAAATAAAAAAAACAAATCTGTAACAACAGTGTCTTTTTATACCTCATTATATCTGTCCTCAACATTATGTCTGTCCTTAACAAATCTGATTATTGTGCAATTCTATTTTTTGTTTGAGCTCTGAGTGGCTTTGTTTTCAATTCTGCCTACAACGGAAACTAATTTTTAATATCAAGTGTGTTATTTTCACACAATGCAGTGTCTTCTACCACCAGTCCACAGACTGGTGCTAATCCACAGTTGCAGAAAGGTGGGAAACCACTGGTTTGCCGCCTTGGTTCTGACTGCTAGTCTGTGGATTCCACCATTGGTCTGTGGGTATAAAGGGGCGGAGGAACACTGAATTGTAGTGAACCTGTTTGTCCCTTTCCCTGACCTTTTGGCCAGCTAGTGCTGAAGATGGTGCAGTAGAGCACAGCTTAAATGTTGGCTCAAAGTGGTTCACAGTCTCACCTTTATCCAGAGATTGGCTGAGGGAATTCAAGTCTTAAAGCCAATGTCTGACTGACTTTGGACTGTCTATACAGATCTCTCTTTTTAGGTGATACAATTCAACAGGAAGTGAAAATCCTGCTGAAGACATGCTTTCTTATTACTCATTGCTGTCCATAGTTTATGTCATTCCTCATCCTGCAAGCATTCCCTTCAATCATTACCTGAATTCTTGTCTCAGGCTCTGCCTCTAGGGATCCTGACTTAAGACAATGGAGATATCTGATAGGAACATTTTCAGCAGATTTAAAACTAAGTAAAATTGGTGACTTGCTCACAAGGGGCTCCTTAAAATTAACCTGGAAACTGCACTAGACTGGCAATCTTGGCATCAGTTTTTAAGCCTCTTACAACCATTGAGCTCAGATATTTTAAATAGTTTGAGCTTGTCTTTACTGTATTATGTGGAGCTTAGACAATGTGAAACTTAGTGTCCCATGTTAATGGTTTTCCTTGAAGTTCAGGGCTTATTAAATGAAGATGCCTGACTACCCTAAGCCTCTAACCACCCTCCTTTCCTAACTCCACTAGCCTTGGAAGATGTTTAACTAAACTGAAATTTAACATCAAATATGTTTCTCTTCTAGGGAAAAGCTATTACTATATTTTCTGAGTTCTTGATTTCTCAGAACTTAAAGGCCAATGCCTCATAAGGTTTTCTTCTCTTATTTTAATTTCTACTCTTCTTTTAGCTGTTTATCCATAATCAGAGACTTTTCTCAAAATCCTGCAGTATTTAATTTTATTGAATCACCGTGCAATATACATATTAATTTTGCCTTTCTATTCCTTCATTTATAAATTCAGACTTTCTTTTTTCCAGCCATTTTCTTAAAGCATACCATATTCAAATGTTTCCAAACTTAGTATTTACCCATCTCCCCCCGCCCCAGAAACATTAAAACCCTTAGCACCACCTGAAAATTCACCTTTTTGCGGTGAACAAAGTGTCCTTTTACTCCGTAGTTGTACCCCAGGTTACTACTATTTCTAGGAACATTCCACTGGTGCCACCATCCCCATTCTAGTGAATGTACCTGAAAAGTTTGCAGAATTATGTACTTGATTCTATACTATGTAATATTATTTTTCATTTCCTTTGTTTTTTTTTATCCTTTTCATTGAGGTTCTGGAATTTACAATACTGTTAATCATACTTTTTATGCATATATCATTCAGTACCACACCCATCACCAAGATCCTACTTTCCTCTCGTTTCCCAAGTATCCTCTTAAGGCACCTCCTCATGGGATGAAAATTTGTTTCTATAACATTGATTTTTGCTCCCCCCACCATTTTTTACCCAAAATTTGGGAGAGAGCTCTTTTTGTTAAAATTATTATTGTTATTTTAGTTTTTGGGCCATGCCTGGTGATATTCAGGAGTTACTCCTGGCTTTGTACTCAGGAATTACTCCTGATGATACTCAGGCGACCATATGAGATGCTGGGAATTGAACTTGAATCTAGGTTCTCTGTGCAAAGTAAGCACGTAACCTGCTGTACCATTGATTCTGTCTGATCCTCTTTTTTTTTAAAAAATATATATAGATATGTCATAGATAAAAGATATGGATATATAGAATACATATAGATAAAAGAGCTAGTAAAATTCCATAAAATTATAAATCAATCATAAGTTGATAATTTTTCCCAAAACTCTTTTTAGATATATTAAATTAGAAATTATGAATAATTTGTGCAAAAACATTTTAAAATTTACATGAAATAGATAAATGCTACAAATGTAAAATTTAGTAAGAATGAAGAGAATTAAAATTTAAAGGGGAAAATCTGAATAGGCCTATGAAGGTGTAAAGGTGTTTTATTCTAAGGGGAATATTGGTGTTATGTTAGAAAATATTATGGACACTGCTTAAGTGTCTGCATAAATTTAAGTAAGATTACAATAAAAACTACTATGGATATAAAAACTGATCAGACATGGTATG